GACCATGTCCATGGACATCAGTTAGCATGCAAATGCACAGCACACAGGTTGGGCAACCTCCAGTCATGTTCCTGCTCATGTGACATTTGCTGTGACATGGCCCAAGGGGTCCTACAAAGTGTCCTGTATCCAGGTAAGCAAGGCCTGGGAGGAACTGAAGGAGAAAGCCACATGGTCAATTCAACCTTTCCCTAGGTGTGGCCTCCTCTGCACAGAGGACCATCCGGGAGTGGTCCTGGCCCAAGAGGACACTTGCCATGGCAACTTCCCTCCCATCCAGCTTCAGGACACTCTGGCTACTTTCTACTCCTTCTGACTCCCAGCCTGTGTCATACAGCTCCTGCTGGCCGCTGCCCTTCCCACATCCCAGCCCTGTGCATCTTTCCTCTCTTCTCAGAATCACGTGTCTCTAAACTCTGCTCCTTCCCACTGTCCAGGGAATGAGCTGGCCCAGTTCCTCAGACACCGAGTCCTCCCACCAGGCTTAACTGCACCTAGAGTCTTTCTTCCCTTTGCAGAAGTCCATTGCTCGCTCCACACATGGCTTATTTGTTGTTTCTCCTCTAGAATCCTATCAGATGATTTTTTTCTCCCTAATTAATGGGAGCAGGAAATTCACAAAACCCCAAGCTAACAATTCCATGTCATTAGCTGTGCTCAGGAGTGTGCAACCACCAATAACTGGTTCCGTGGCATCTGACCCCCACAATAGACCCTAGCCTGTGGGCAGTCCCTCCCATCCCTGCTCTGGAAACTGACAGTCTGCTTTCTGTCAGAGGAGATATAAAATGACGAATAAGAACACATTAGCAATTAGGGAAGTGTAAATCAGCACTACACGTGTATAGCTGTTTCCTCCAAGACCTAGACCTTCTCTCACGCAGGGGAACTCATTAAGATGCACGGTGCTAAAGGGAAGTAAAACAAGAACGCTCTCAGGGAGCATCCCATCCTGCAGGGAAGCTCCTTAAGCCCAGGAAAGAAACAACTTAAAGAAATGAGGAAGTCCCTGAAACTGACCAGACACACTAGTCTCCTCCTTCCCGGAGCATATATAATCTGAAAGGACTGATGAAAGATACTCTCTGCCGGCCTGGACTGTCAGGAAGAGGCTCAGGTCAACTGAACTACCTAAAAGAACATTCTCCAATCTGTGGAATTGCCTACAAATTATGTACTATGCTCTAGGTTTCCAGCTTCTGTGAGCTGTCTCCCATGCTGGGGTGGGCTTTGGTGAGGCAGCTCACTGCGTCATTTCTGATCCTGCAAGCAGCCCCCTAAAACTCATTAGTTCACCAAGTTGGACTTTGATGATATCCTTACTCTGATCTGTCACCAGCCCCTGTCTGGGAGGAGTAGACAGTTGTTCACGTTTCCTCAGAAATAGTGTCACACAACAGCGTGAAATGTCACCTCAGTCCACTGTGATACTTACAATCAAAGTCATACCACAACCATGAACTGTCTCATGCTGTTGGCATCGGGCCTTCCCACCATAACAGACAGTAGCCCTTCCTTAACTACCAGTCAAAATAAGCCCTTCCTCCACTAAATTGCTTTTTGTCAGCTATGTGCTCACAGCAACAAGAGGACTAACTAGTACCGATGCATCGGACGCCAAGACGCCATCACAGCAGAGTAGGCTGTACCCCTGTTGGTAGATGCCTGACAAGCATGTACAGAGCTTTGGGTCCAGTCCTCAGAACTGCACAAATCCAATGTGATGGTGCACATCTATAATCCCAGAATCAGGAAGATAGAAGTAAGATCAGAAGTTCAATGTCATTCATGGCTACACAGCAAGTTCAAGGCCAGCCTGGACTACATAAGACAATGTCTGAAAAAAAAAATGGCAAGACATGGTGATTTTAATCCTAACACTCAAGAGGCAGATGCAGGCAGAGTTCTATGAATTCAAGGCCAGCTTGATCTACATGGTGAGTTCCAGACCAACCAAGTGCTACATAGTAAGACCCTTTATTTATTTATTTATTTATTTATTTATTTATTTATTTATTTATACAGTGTTCTGTCTGCATGTTTGCCTGTACACCAGAAGAGGGAACCAGATCTCATTACAGATGGTTGTGAGCCACCATGTGGTTGCTGGGAATTGAACTCAGGACCTCTGGAAGAGCAGTCAGTGCTCTTAACCTCTGAGCCATCTCTCCAGCTCAAGACCCTTCTTTAAAAAAAAAAATCCATCACATTGCTGACATGGTGCAGGCTCCCCTCCAATGACTGAATTAAGGCCACTAAGGCCCCCCTAGGATGGATCTGGGATGTTCCTGGAGCTACATAGGATTGAGTCTGGTTGCTCAGATTTCTGTTCTTGGAATGAGCCAGGCTAACTCACTGAATTCTGTTTCTGTTTAAATTAACCAGAATTCAATCCTGGTATTTGGAGTCAACAACCCTGATAGTTCTAGAAGCTTATGAAGGAAAAGCAAACCTGGGCTGGAGACACGGCTCAGTGGCTCTGAACACCTGCTGCTCTTATAGAGGAATCAGTGTTGATCCCAGCACCCACAGCACAGCTCAGAACTGCCTGTAACTCCAGGCCCAGGGGATGTGATACCCTCCTCTGGTCTCAGCAGGCACCAGGCACACATGTGGTCCACGGGTACATATGCAGGCAAAAGACTCATGCAACATAGAAATAAATAAAAAATTAAAAATCACAAAATACATAAATCCTTAAAAATAAAAATAAAAAATAAAAAAGGAAAGCAGGTCTCCCCCAGGGCAGCAGTTCATGGGGACAGACCATTGTGCTCACAAGAGCCAAGAGGAGACTCTGCCCGCAGCACACTATGCCAGCCACTGCAGCAGAACTCCCCGAGAGTGGAAGAGTTCATTCAGGAAGCAGCCAGGCTGGAGGAGTGGGGACAAGTCCTCAGGTGCTCACTGAGGACCGGGAGGTTGATGAGACGAAGAGGTGGAGTACTGTGGTGTGGGGGAGAGGTTGGAGGTGAGAAAAGCAGCCATGAGTCAGCCTTGCACACTTAGAAATGGTCATGGTTCTCTGTGTGACTCACAATCAGAAAAGAGTGGCAGCACCACAGTCCAAACATGGGTGGTCGGGCGCCTGATGTCAGCCATCAGACACCCACCCAGGCAGAAGAGAGGAACAAGTGATTTCACAGAGGACTGCCAAATCCCTGGGAGCAATCTGGGCAAGAGTGGTCAGAGGCGTTGTCGACAGCAGAACTGTCCAACTCTATAGGACTAACAACACCCTTCTCCTAAATTAGTGCTGCTAAAAATCAACGGAAAGCAAGTAGAACTACAGAGTTTATTCAAGACTTCCTCAGTGTCAGGAGCAGCTCCAGTCCTTAGAGCAGTAGGAGAGGATTTAGCTATGAAAGGAGTGAACTTCTGAACCATGCTGAAGCATGAATGAACCTCAGGGGACAGACACAGTAGACAAGCTGCAGGACTCCATCTACACAAAGTGTCAGCTGCTGGGTGGTGGTGGTGCACACCCTTAATGCCAGCACTCAGGAGGCAGAAGCATGTGGATCTCTGTGAGTTCGAGGCCAGCCTGGTCTACATAGTTCCAGAACAGCCTGAGCTGCATAATGAGACCCTATTTCAAACTAACTAACTAGCTAACTAACTAACTAAATAAATAAATAAATAAATAAATTGTCCTCTGGAGAAAGGTCTACTCAAATCCATTGTCCATTATTAATTAGGTTTATCCATGAGTTACCAATGTTTTACTGACATTAGATCCTCATCAGATGTATAATTTGCACATATTCTCACAGTCTATCTTGTCATTTAATTTCATTCACAGAATCTTTCTTTAAAATATTTATTATTATTTATTTGTATGTATGTGTGTATCTGTGAGTGTATAAGCATATATAAATGCAGTTCCCCTAAGAGGCCAGAAGAGGGTGCCAGATTTCCTGGGGCAGCAGTTACAGACAGTTAGCTCACCACCAGTGAGCCATCTGATGGTGCTGGGAATGGACTTGGGTCCTCTGGAAGAGAAGCAAGTGCTCTGAACTACTGAGTCATCTCTCCAGCTCCTTCACAGAGTCCCTTGGTGACTCCCAGTTTTACACACTGCACACTGATGAAGTCCAATCTGCCTCTTACTCCTTTTAATTTCTGTCTTGTCAAAGCCATGGTCAGAGGTTTATACTTTCTATGTGTTTTGGTTTTAGCTCCTGCATTCAGGCCAGGCCCATTTCAAGTAAATCTGTACAATAATGTGAGGTCTGAGTTCATTCTTTTGCAGGTGGATGTCAATTGTCCCAGGGACATATTAAAGCTGTCCTTTTCCTCTTGTGTTTGTGCTCCAATCCATAAAAATGATTTTGCGGATTCTTTCCCGTTTACTCTTTATTTGGGTGGGTATATAAGTCCATGCCTTGTTCTTCCCTTCTGCCCAGACAGGCAACGTTACACCATCATTCTTGCCTGGATCACTGTGTTTTTTCCAGCTGTTATGCTTGTTGCCTCCAATCCATTCTTAATACAACACCTAGAAGGACTCTAAAATGTACCACATGTTGCCTGTATCAAAGCCCTCCAGTTCTCCCTGTCTCTCCCAGAGAATATATTCTATATATCCTTACAGTGGCCCACAGCCACCCTTGCTGGCCCTGCCCTCTTGGTGACCTGGTCTTTGCCCAGTCTTCTCAGGTATAGTCAGTCTGCTGTAGATGTCCTGCCCTCCGGTCTGTTTTTGGAAGCAGCCCAGCTCTCTGCCCCAGGTCTGTACCCTGTGTTCCTCCCATGTTGTTCCTGAACCATTTCCTTCACTGAAGTCAATTTTGTGTTCAAATGTCACCTTGGTGAAGTTGTCTCAGACAATTCCACTTAAAGTACAAACACTACCCCCGCCCCCGCCCCATGTCAACACTCTCTGAACAACTTGTTCCGTTTGATTTTCCCCATAACATTTATGACCTTTTAAATAATTTATAATTTCATGAATCAGGGTTCAATCAGGAGACACAATGGTACAGTAGACAGAACAGGAATGGTTTATGTAATGAGCAATTAACAGTATAAATGTAAAGACAGCTCTAAAGAATAGCTTGAAGTTATAGGAGGTGGTTTGGGGGTGGAAGCCCATCCACAGGGTTTGGTTCAGACCTGGTGGGAAAAGGTGTGGCTGCAGCCCAGGGTCTCTGCCTGGGCCAGGGCTGGGTCTGGTCAGGGCAGAGGACAGCCAACTGAGAGAGGCACACTTGCTTCCTAGCAAGCACAAAGCCTGTCTTCTCTTACAGGGCTGTATCTCTAAAGAAAGCCATTGGGGGCCCACTGAGGCAGTGTTACTGAATGTCCTGCATGGCCTGATGTGTTTAGAGCTCAGTGGGATAGACAACTAGAGAGCTCTGAAGTAGACCTGAACAAGTGTGCCAAAGTGAGATAAATGTATGTTCTCCATGAGAGAAAATAGTGATGTTTGTCTTTCCATCTCCTGTCCATCCATCAGACTCTACCTTCCCGCACATGGTCACTTATACTTTCATATCATATATGTGTGCAAGATATGTACATACTAAATGTAAATCCTGAAAATAAAGGAAAACATGCAAAATTTCTCTTTCTGAGTATGTTAAGAATAGGCCAGGACAAGATTTAGCTGAAGGACGTATTCCCTGTGACTCATTTCTATCAGTCCTTTGCCTTCATTCTGCAGAATATCTCAAATAGGGCCACTAGCTGGGAATAAGTCTTCAACACATGGACCTGTGGAGGATGCTTCTGATCCATACATGATGATGTGTTAATTTATTTCACCTCTGTTCTTTCAGTACGTGTGTTAGGGAAACACAAGGAGATGCAGGCATGAGATTGGGAAGCTGTGTGGCTGCTAGTGTGTCTGGAGATGTCACCACAGCTTCTGGGGGCTCTGAGGTTCAGGCTTCAGCACTTTCAGTCACAGCCCAAGTCAGCAGCAGACTGAGTGTCCCTGGCTTTGTCAATCACACGTTCATATCATTCTCCTCCTGTTCAAGGATTGAGACACGTGTGCCTATGTGGTAAGATGCTTCCAGGAATGACTCGTGCTAATGAAGGACAAGCTGACAGGTACAGAGATGCCTCTCCCATGATATGGAAATGCTAGCCTGCTTTCCTAATCTCTGGTCCTAAAGGTCACCAGCCCTGCCCTCTCACACCCAGAATGACAGGTCTCCTACTCAACACCTTCTATAGTGAGGTCAAGACCTGGGCCATGCCAGCTCCTCAGCACAACCCAGGGCCTGTCAGAGAGTGCTCATTAAGATTGTTTGTGGAAACATAAGCCTGCCTACCTTTGGTCCAGACAGACACAAAGATGCCATTGTGGGACCAGCACCCATCTCCAGAGCCATGGAGTGTGGACAGCCCCGCAGGAACTGAAACCCTTCTCCAGAGCTGACCTTCTGGGGTCTCAGGGCAGGTGGCCAAGTTCAGGAACTGCAGAGTGGGGAGTGGAAGGCAGAGTTCCTACTGGGAAGGAAGCTGGGCTAAGGCCCAAAGACAGGTCAGCCAGGGCAGCCATCATGAACTCAGAACACAGGCTGGCACATGGAGTCATGGTGCCTCTTGTATTAGTGACCCAAAGGGAATGAGATCTGGCCCTGTTGAGAGCAAGTGGGTGCCCAGAGCTAATGAGAAGGGAAGCTGTGGACTCCAGAGGAAGGAAGTTCAACAGGAGCACAAGGGTGGGCTCAGGACAGGCTGAGGTGGACCCTGGTTCTTCATCCCACCTCAGGGCACAAGATGGCAGGAAATGAACACACATGGGCCTCAGTTGTACCAGGGCAGCCCTGGCTCTGAAAAATGTCCTCTCAGCGGGTCCTCGGATGACAAGAGCAGCAGAAGGTCAAGCCCCCTTGTTGGAGATGAATCCCCTTGAGCTCACACAGGTGACCCCCCCTTCACCGATTCCTTCAGGGGACAAATATTCATGTGTGGCTGGAATCCTTCATGCGGCCAACTTAAAATTGTGAACTATGAAAACTGAACCCTAACTGGTGATTGAGTAGATGGGCATTGGCCAGTTAGTGAAAAAGGACCAAGACAGCCGGCGGTGGTGGCGCAAGCCGGGTGGTGGTGGCGCATGCCTTTAATCCCAGCACTCGGGAGGCAGAGCCAGGCGGATCTCTGTGAGTTCGAGGCCAGCCTGGGCTACCAAGTGAGTTCCAGGAAAGGCGCAAAGCTACACAGAGAAACCCTGTCTCAAAAAACCAAAAAAAAAGGACCAAGACATCTGGAGTAAGAAGTGTCCTGCAGAGCACACAGCTGGCCTCAGAGCAGAATGAAGTGGGTCAGGGTCAGGGTATTGCCTAGTGTGGCAGGGGTCTACCCTGAAGATGTTTAAACTGACTAGAGTCAGGAGTTTGTGTTTCCACTTACAGGAAGGTCCAGGTGGAGTATCCATGCAGGGATAGGACAGTGAAGTGGCCTCCCTCCCAGGCAGGGGCCAGGCCATCTGGGAACAAGCAGACATTCTCTGGTGGTGAAGCTCAGCCCCATCCTCAGTAGCAGGAGGTCAGAAGCCAGGTCTCAGGGGACACAGCTCAGGGCAGCCATGGGCAGATGGAGGGCAGGGGTGTGAAGGGAAGCCTGGCCCTCCCTCCCTGCCCAAAGTGCAACCTCCCTGCCCCTGAGTCACTCATCCCAGGGTCCTTTGTGAGCACAACTCTTGGTGGTGCAGACATTGCAGGGCATTGTGTGTCTTTCTTCATCTGTAGGTGACATTGAGTTGATATTCATCAGATCCCAACAACAACAACCTTCCACTTCCATGATGGATGTGGATTTGGCCATGATAGAAGGGCAGGAGGGACGTGGCCAGTGCCAAGTGGGCACACATCCCTGGCCATGGGGGATATAAAGGGCACCCTGTGAGGATGCGGAGCAGACATTCCCCAGGTGACCTGCCTTGTGTGAGAACGCAGAGACTGAAGATGAAGAGTTTGCTCCTGACCTTCTTGCTTCTGGTGCTGGTGGCTGTCCTGAAGGCCCAGGAAGCCCCACCAGATAACCAGGAGGATGTGAGGAGGGGCAGATCAGTGGGTGGGGTAGGATAAAGGCATGGCCTTCTGCTTGCTGCTGGTATAGAGTTGAGCTGAGGTGCAGGATGTTTCCTTGAAGGTTGAGTTTGATCTTGCGCTGAGTGGTCAGATCAGGGATTCCACCATTCAGCCAGGAGACAGGCATCTCCTAAAGACAGGGGTTAAAATAGAAAAACAGAGTTTGGTGAGGGGTCCTTGTTCAAGTGACACCCAGAGCTAGAAGGCCTCATAGGCAAAGACATTCATCAAGTGCTGAGGTGTAGACCTCAAGAGTATAGATACCTTGGGTAGGGAACACAGGCTTTCTACTGTCATGGATTGGGCAGCCTGTGTTCTGGTATCTCTTTACTGACCAAAGGTCTTCGGGAATATGGGCTTAGGCCACATCAGTTAGCCTGGGCTCTGGAGCTAGGTGCTAGCCCATATGCTGGAGCCTGGGATAGAAACAGGGTCAGACTTGGGTGTTCTCAAAGCTTTGTCTCCTGCAGTACTCTGGGATCTGGTACACAAAGGCCATTGTACACAATGGAAGCCTACCCAGTCACATGATACCTTCAAAGGTTTTCCCTGTGGTGGTAACAGCCTTGGAAGGAGGAGACATGGAAGTCAAGGTTACATTCTGGTGCGTGTCCCCTACTATGGGTCTGTATAGTTTTTTGTCTCTCCCTTGCTATCCATTATTTGAGTTTGGGTAACTAAAGGATCCCCGCCTTTGAGGGGACACAGTGGCAGGCAGTACCCTAAAGCTGGAACATGGAATTTAGGGGATCGCCTGACCAGGCCTGATATACCAAAAGAGCTGAGAGGCCTCAGCTATGTTGCTGAGAGTAGCCTGACTGTGGGCTTGTGTTTTACAGGAAGAAAGGGCAGTGTCATGAGTTTAAAATTGTGATGAAGAAAACCGACGAGCCTGGCAGATACACCACCTGTGAGTCCCCTTGTCTTAGGGTCTCCTGCAGTGGCAAGACCTTGGATGGATGGGTCCTTGCCTGGTTCAGCTTCTAGGACAGGCTACCCGCTCACTTTCCACGCACCAGATATTAGAGGCCATGGACTGGTCAATCCTAGAAACTCACTGGTTCTTGCTGCCCTGCCCAGCTCAGCTCTTGACCCAGGAGAAACCAATGCTAAAGACGGGAAAAGCAGGCAGGGAGATGCTCAGGCCTGGGTCCAACCCCACCCCCTCTTCTGAATTCCTTAGCTGGGCTCGGCAGCTTCTTGAGAAATGGCTCCTGTCTAACTATGGGGACCACAGAAAAACCAGGGCTAGACTAGCTAGGTCTCCTGGGTGACCACAAAAGTGTCCTAAGATGTTCCTTCATGTGGTCTCTAATAGTGTCTCAAGGATGAGACACTAAGAGCTATTTCTGTTCCCCTGCAGTTCACGGAAAGAGGTTCGTTTATGTCGTAGAGCTGTCAGTGAAGGACCACTACATCTTCTACTGTGAAAGCCATCAACGTGGGAAGTTGTTTGGCATGGGAAAGCTCATGGGTGAGGTGCCATGGAGGTCCCAGGTCCTGTCCCTGGTCTCTGCTCCAGTAGTCATGAGAAGGGCAGCAGCCATGCCTGGTACTGGAGACTGGGAAGCCTCTGGCTGCCGGACCCCGGGTGCTGCCCAGGAAATGTATGAAATCCAAAGTGGAAAGTGGGTAAAACTGGGTGGGGATGGGGCTTTTGTGGCTTTTGGAGACCTGAGCACCCAGGAGAGGTTCCCACCACTGGAGCCAGCAAATGCCACTTCTAGGGGTCTCAGCCAAGGGTTGGGTCAACTTCAAAGGGATGTCTTGTCAGAGGTCATTATGGTAGGTGGGGTCCTCCAGGGTCAGGGGACAGTCTCATACTCCTGAGATTCAGGGCTCTTACAGGTCTGTGGAGTGACCCTGTAGGGCTACAGAGATTCTTCCTTGGGCAAGAGGGTCATTCAGTGTCTGGATGTCCACACACTGTAGTTCCTTGTCCACTGCCAGAGTCCTCTCTCAACCTTTGTGCTGGTTAGTGCTCCCATTCTGTGCCACTGGCTCTCTGCAGAGCTGAGCACCACCCTTCAATCCTACCTCACCTTCCCACAGGGAGAGACTCTAAGGAAAACCCAGAGGCTGTGGAAGAATTTAAGGAATTCGTACGGCAGAAGGGACTCAGAGAGGAAAACATCTTAGTACCAGAGTTGAATGGTGAGAGCAGGACGGCCCATGCCTCTCTCCGCCTATGTCCCCTGTGTCACTGCTAACTGTCAGTCCCCAAACATGTATGTCTGTGTGCCTTCTGCGTCCTTTCTGTGCCTGGTCCTATTGTCCCTTATGCGTTGTTTCCTGTCTCTCCATGTTCCCTATGTCTCTGTAGTATCTCCATCATGTTCTCAGTGTCATCCATAAGTCAATGTCACAGAGGACATACTGTCGCGGTGTCCCTCAGTGTCCCCATGTACCTCCAAATCTCCTGTGCTTCTGCCTCTCTCTCTACCCTGCTCTCTTTGTGTACCTGGTTTCTGTACTGTACCTTCAAGGTCCCCTCACCTCTCACAGGGTTGCCAGGGCCCTGCTTCAGGTCTTGGCTGTGGGAGGGCCTGAGCTGCAGGTGTGAGGGGGTCCTCTTACTGGGCCCTTCTCACTCCTGGGATTCTTTTGGTTTCTACAGAGCAATGTGTGCCTGAAAGTTCTGAAAGTGACTAGGGTAAGTCGTCCATCCTCCCCGCCCCTCCCCACGCGTACCCCATTGAACTGTGGGAAAGCCTAGAATGCAGGGCTCAGGAACTAGAGAGTCCTTATCCTATTTACATAGACAGGTGTGGTCACTTGGGAGGCGGCCCTGAGTGTAGTTTCCAGGACAGTAAGGCCTTTCTTTTTGTCGTGATCTCTCCTAGTCCCTGGTCCCTGCCTGGTCCTGTCCTTCCCATTCTCTCCCAGGAGGCTGAGACCTGGCTGCTCACGGGAGTGGTACAGGGATCACTTTAGAGGGCCCCAGCTCCTAGCAGGGACCACACAGAAACACAGGAAAGAAGATCTCTGACCCATATCTGCCCTGGGCTATCCCTGCCCATGACTCCCTTAACAGCTGCTCCTGAAAAATGGTGACAGGAGTGGGGGGGGGGGGCACTTATCTGTCTTCCTCTCTCTACCACAGCAGCTACCCAGGTCTGCACCTGCTGAGCAAGCCTTGATTCCAGCACCTGGCTGGGACATCCCTGCACCATACCTCTGCTGGACCAAACTCCCCACTGCCTCCCCATCCCCCCATGCCTTGGCCTCCCCTCCCCCACCTGACTCCAAATAAAGCCCTTCAGCAGTACTCTGGCTCAGCCTCTCTGGGAAGGCTTGTGTGAGCTCTAAGAGCTCTGCTGGCAGCAGGGACATGGGGAAAGTTCAGCGACACTGGAGGACCAATGCCCAAGGAGCATGGCGTCTGACTTTCCTGGAGAGCCATGTGAGGTCCTAGAAGTCCTCACCTGGTCAGCCACTCCCTGTGAGGCTGGACCCTGGCAGGAGTGTCTGCGAAGCCCCTGGGGACAAGGCTGTGAGGAGTCATCAGGGCTTTGGGCAGTGTGACTGTCACCACAGGGCTCCTGCTCCAGCAGGACCTGGTGGACTACTGGGAGAGCCTTCCTTGAGAAGTCGATCTCAGTGACAGGGTGGAGCAAGGGTGGCTAGCTCCTCCATCATCTTCCTCAGGGAAGACAGAAGCAGCCACAGCCTCCACCAGCCCTGTTCTCCACTCCAGCCCTCCCCCATAGTTTATCCAAGGACCAGGGTGTGGGCTTTCTCTGTCCAATAGGGACATGGTGGCCACAGTGTGGGAGAAGATGTGATCAATACAGCCTAGTGTAGCTCCCACATGTCACCTTTTGCTGAGGGGTTGTTGGTACTCAGGCTAGTGTCCCTCAGCTCTGTGACCCTCCAGTCTAACCCCCACCTGATCACAGTTCTCTCTGAATTCCTCTCCTGTCTGGACGTAATTCTTGCTGGGAGCTATTGGGTGTTCCTGAGGTGGAGCAGCTGTGCTGGTGTGGGTGGGGCCTGAGGCATCCAGACACTTTGGAGGGCAGGGCCAGGCTGGATCCCACATACATACCAGGCTGTCTTCTTGCTTAATACAGGGACCATGCATGGCTTTTAACTGTGGGCCCCAGGACCACCCCAAATTCAAATACTTGATATTGTTCTCCTTTGCAATCAGTACATCAGGAAGACTTCTAATTCAAGCCCAAACATGCAGAGATTGCAATCTGACACCACATTACAGTATCTCCTCCCCGTCCCCCTCTGTGTGTCAGTGCTGGGGACTCAGGGATGACACTGTGGACTTGATGTGAAAGCTCAGGGCCCATGACTGCCTAGGAGGAATGGGCAGAGTCCTAGCAGGACACAAAGTGAAGAGGCGTCCTGCTTTTCTGCCAGCTGCCCGCACACTGGAGCCTCCCCTGAAACTTCTTGGGCTTAATTACTGCTGGAAGGGAAGCACCAGGGACTCCATTTTGGCAGGGACAACTTCCTCCTTCTTGAACTCTGAACCCGTCGTCTTTAAAGACATTTTGACCAACCAACCATCTTGTGGTTTGCTGTGGTTTTTTGGTCCCTTGTGACTTGAATGGAGCTTTTCAGGTGGTCTGATCACATGTTAGGGGCTGGGCAGATAGCAAGATAGAGCCAAAGGCACTTTAAGTGTTATTTTTATACCGCTTGTGTTTATGCAGGTATGCACAAGCCACAGCCGAGACGTGGAGGTCGCGGTACAACTTTATGTTGGCAGCTCTCTTTCCAGTTACACGTGGCTTCTCGGGATTGAGTCAAGTGGTCAGGCTGTGTATGGCAAGTGTGTTTCTCACTCACAGACCGACCCTGCTTATACCAATGGCGCTTTTTCTTCACCGAATTTAAGCATCTGGAGTCTCTGAAGGACGGGATCTTTAGACTAGTTTGTTAGTTTTCTGTTGCTCTGATAAAATACTCTGGCAAAAGCAACCTAAGGAGGGGGGGTGTGTGGCTCACAGTTTCAGAAACTGTCCCTCATGAAGAGGAAGCCAAGGTGGCAGCAGCTAGAGGGATCTGGTCACATCCAATCCACAGTCAAGCAGCACAGACTGGGCCAGCCACATGGCTCAGAGGGTAAACCATCTTGTCACCAAGCCTGACCCTGAGTTCAGTCCTCATGACTCACATGACGGAAGGAGAGACTTGATTCCTGCAAGTTGTCCTCTGACCTCTATACTTTGGCCATGTCATCTGCGCGCGCACGCACACACACACACACACACACACACACACACACACACACACACACACATTCATGCACAGAAAATAAGTACATAATAAAATGTAATAAAAAATTAAAACAGCATAGGTTGATAAAAGTGTGTGTTGATGAGTGTGCTCAGTATACTTTTTTTTTCTCCCCAAAATTTAAATAAGCCCTCATTAAAATTAAAACCCGGAAGAATTAACAGTAAATTTAAAATTTTAAATTATTGTCTTTTTTCTTTCTTTTTTTCTCTCTCTGTCTCTGTCTCTCTTTTTTGAGACAGGGTTTTTCTGTGTAGCCCTGGCTATCCTGGAACTTGCTTGGGAGACCAGGCTGCCTGAACTAAGAGTTCTGCCTGCCTCTGCCTCCTGAGTGTTGTGATTAAAGTTGTGTGCCACCACACACTTTTTGGTCTTTTTGAACTTTTACTTAAAATAAATCAACTTTCTATACCTTATATGAAAATTCATTTAAAAATTTAAAATAAATGAACACAAAACAAATAAAATAAACTTTGTAAGCAAGTCCAAGCATTTGAATATACAGCATCAGAAAACCCTATAAGGCATATGTGGGTTAGCTCTAACTTAATTACATATAATTTCATATAAAATGCTTTATTCTTTTAAAAGAAATTATTTATTTTTATGTGCTGGTGTTCTGTCGTCATATATATCTGCACACCATGCCCAGGCAGTGCCTCTGGAGGCCAGAAGAGGGTGTCGATTCCTGAAGCTGTAGTCACAGTCGTTGTGAGCTACCCTATGGGTTTTGGGAATCAAGTCTGGGGATTCTGCAAGCGCAGCCAGTACTCTCAGTCACTGAGCCGTCTCTCCAGCCCCTCGAGGGGTTTTGTCTTAATAAGGTGTTAGGGAGAACGCCCAGCCAGTCAGGTGTTTGCTCTGCAAGTGGAAGGACCCGGGTTCGAGCTCCCGAATCCATGTTAAAAAAAAGCCATGGAGACGAGTTTGTGATCCCAGCCCCGGATGGTGAAGACAGGATCGCTCAAGCTCACTGGCCAGCCTCGCCTGCCTCATCCGCCACAGTGAACTTGTCTCAAAGTGACATTGTGGGTGGGGTGGCATCCTGAGAAAGAACACCTAAGACTGACTTCTGGTTTACACGTGTTCGAACACACACACACACACACACACACACACACACACACATACACACACACACAGAGGAACATGTACACACAAAAAGTATTTATTCCTCAAGCCTTTTGTATGTGTGCAGAACTGCTGTAACTCATTTCGATCTTTAATGCAGACCTCAAATAGCTATAAGATATTATTGTCTAGAAGCCAGAAATCATACTTGTCTTATCAGTGTTCTTTACGTTATTTATTTTTCCTTTCTAAAATGTTGGTATAAAATAAGGAAAGAAAAGAGAAAATAAAATTAGATCTTTTGATTTTAGGAATTCTGCATTATGGATTTTCTTGTTTGCTTGAGAAAGATTCTCACTTTGTAGGCCAGGATATCCTGGAACTCTCTATGTAGCCCAGCCAAACTGAATTTACAGTAATCCCCCTGTCTCAGCCTTCCAATGCATAAGCTGCCTTGCCTACCTGACATTATGTAACATTCAATCATAAAGTAGTTTAGAATTTTATTTCATGCCTTTTTTTTTTTTTTTTTTTTTGGTTTTTCGAGACAGGGTTTCTCTGTGTAGCTTTGCGCCTTTCCTGGAACTCACTTGGTAGTCCAGGTTGGCCTCGAACTCACAGAGATCCATCCACCTGGCTCTGCCTCCCGAGTGCTGGGATTAAAGGAGTGAGCCACCACCGCCCGGCTTCATGCCTAATTTTAATGTGTAACTCACATATATTTGTATCTACACTCTAGACAAATTGCAGATGCCATACATATATACATACATACATATATATGTAAATTTTGTTTTTGTTTTTTGAGACAGGGTTTCTCTGTGTAGCTTTGCACCTTTCCTGGAACTCACTCTGTAGCCCAGGCTGGCCTTGAACTCATAGAGATCCACCTGCCTCTGCCTCCTCGAGTGCTGGGATTAAAGGCGTGCCCCACTGCCGCCCAGCACAGATGCCATTTATAGTGCAAGCATTGTGTACACATTACAGATGTGTGGGGTGGTGCTGGAGAATTGGCTGTGCATTTAGGACCTCTTGCAGACCTGGACTTGGTTCCCAGCGCTCACATAGAGGCTCACAGTGTCATAACTCCAGTTCCAGGGGATCTGACATAAGATCATAAGTAAATATAAAAAATAGTATGTCTTTAAGAAAACCCTTAAAAAAGACACCAAGCCAGGATTCCACGGAGATCCTTGTACATGCGTTTATTGCAGAAGTTTTCACAGCAGCTGTTAT